GGGCATATTTTGGTCAATTTATATTTTACGAATTATTTTTTTTCATATTTATATTAGGTGCGCCTCACTAAGATGTATACACACTCCAAATTTCAAGTAATTTGGATTTATTGAAAAAAAATAAAAATTGAAACACTATCGGACAACTGTGACCGTGCGATGAAGTTTGGATGGTGATGAGGGTAGGCGAAATCATTGTTCATTTTCGCCTAGATATATATAGATATATGGTAAAAGATGAAGTACGCCTAACTTGCGTACCTCGACTCGTATGCCCAATCTGCCTAGATTGAATCTAGTTCTTTGGATGGCCATGATGAAATTTGATTTGATTTTTATTTATTTATTATAAATCCTTTAAACATGAAGTTTAGGGTTTCCATGCATCTAATTAGAGTGCTACACAAAAAACTTCAAATGAAAAATTTGACCAAAATACCCCCAAAACATTATGGGATATTTTTGTTAATTTTTTATTTAAATTATTATTATTATTTGGTGGGTTCACCCTAGTTGATGCATGAACACGCAAATTTTCATGTGCATAAGAATTTTAAAAATAAATAACGAATCAATTTTTGATTGTCTCTCTCTTTCTCTCTCTCTCTCTGTATGTATAGATATATATGTGTGTGCATGCGTGTGGATAAAGCTATCAATAGGTTGTAACTAAGATGAATAATATTTTAGGTTATGCTCCCAACCATTTAATCTTGATCGGATGGTTGTAAATGTGTAACTATTTGAAATTTAATATTTTTTCTACAGGCTGGTTTAAGTTGAAGTTTAGACATATGTATTTGACACCATCACACAGGTATATAAAAATATAACTAAGATGAATAATAGTTTAGGTTAAACTCGCAGCCATTTTTAGAAAAAAATATTAAATTTCACATAGTAAAGTGCATTTTCAACCATACGATCAAGATTGGATAGCCAGGAGCATAACCTAAACTACTTTTTAGATAACAATCAATTGTTAGCTTTTTCCACACACATATATATGCGTAATGATCATGTGAGACCCTTGCACATCAAATAGGACCCCAACTCTTAACCGTTAAATTACACTTGCATTGAGATTTGGATAAGTGTAAGAAGGTACAACCGGTTAGCCGGTAAAATCACCCAAACAACATTTCTACTTTTTTGTAAGCCTATTTGCGTTTCTCCTGACCGACAATTCTCTCCCTAGGGGACTGGAACCCCCTTAATCATCAACTCTCCATGTCTTCCAAAATAAAGCAGTTCAAATTCTGTAGATAAACTAAGCTAAATTTTCACAGGCGCATGGTGTATTTGTTTTCTGAGCTAGCAGAAGTTGCCACAAAAGTTGTCTTCCTTTGCAAAGAAAGAGTAAGAATCAAGCACTTGGAGAGAGAAAATGGGCGAGAGTATGGGTGAAGAAGAGGCTTGAAAAGAGAAAATGGGCAAGAGTGTCGGTGAAAAAGAGGCTTCAAGAGGGGTGACATGTAAAGAAAGGAGCTAGACAGAGAGACTAAATGACGAGAGAGAGAGAGAGAGAGAGAGAGAGAGAGAGAGAGAGAGAGAGAGAGAGAG